GTTAAGTCCATTATGAATAGTACAAAAAGTAATGGGCCCAAATGAGACCCTTGAGGCACACATCACGCAGCTGAAATTTCTCGTGAACAGAAATTATGAATTTTTACTAGTTGCACTCGTCCTGACAAATAACTTTCAAGCCATTCTAATAAGTATGTGGGAAACCCCATTGCTTTTTAGCTTTGCCAGTAAAATTAAGTGCTTAACACGATCGAAAGCCTTACTATAATCTGTATATATTGAGTCTATTTGTGACAAGTTACCGAATGATGAAAGAATGTCTTGCTCGTAGACCAAAAGGTTACTCACAGTAGATCTTTGGGGTACAAATCCATGCTGAGATGGATCACTAATACTCCTACAATGCCACTGAAGATAGGCTATTAGGAGCCTTTCAAAAAGTTTAGGAACCGACGACAAAATACTTATGGGCCGATAATTCTTAATATCATGTCTGTCCCCAGTCTTAAATATTGGCAAAACGTAGCTAGACAACCAAACTACTGGAAACTTGGGTTCTGATAATGACTTATTAAGCAAAAAATGCAGAGGCTTGAGAGAGCTGAGTTTGTTAGGCAATGATTCAGTTTGAAAAATGAGTAGCAAAAAGATTTGAAATATCAGAACCATTCGAAACTGTCACATTGTTGAGATTCATGGTAGAGGGAATGCCGGTTTTTGACCCTAATCAATTAAACCATTTCCAAAAACCTTTAGGGTTGGTTTTTATATTATTCTCAGTATTAGCTATATAATTTTAGGTGGTAGACGCTTTTTACTCATTGGGCGTCGACCGGTGAGATACCACCATGCCAGAATTGAGTAGCGCTAAGTGGTATCACCACGTTCCGCTACTGCGCTGGCAGTCCGGTTCCAACAATGAGTAACAGATAGCATGATGGCGCCTCCAGGATCAAAATATTCCGGAGGTAAAATACCCGACCACTCGGATCTCCGGGCGTCGGGTGATCCTGGGGGTCCTTCATGCAAAGATATAAAGAGAAGATCAAAAACTCAACTCAGAATTGATTTTAGCAATATAAGAGGAATTAGTACAAATATGAATTCAGTTCACCAACATCTTGAAGAACAAAGACCTGACATCCTTGTTCTCACTGAAACTAAAATCAGTTCTGCAACACCTATTAATTGTGAACTATCTTTATCCCGGCTATGACCTACACCACCGATTTCGACATAATTTTGGGATCTGTGTGTACATTAAAAATGACCTTTCATGTCATCGAGAGGAGAAGCTAGAACCAGCGAACCTTGATATCATATGGCTAAAATTCACCTCAAAGTCATCGACCAAGTTTATCTGCTGCCTCTACCGACCGCCATCTAACACCGAGTACCAAAACTTTTTCGCGACATTATCCGAAAGCTGTGATAGTATACAGTCAAACTATCCACAGGCGGAAATTGTCTTTTTAGGCGATCTCAACGTCCACAATATACCCTGGCTGAAACACCACAACAAAACAGATAACGAAGGCAGAGAAGCTGAAGCTTTTGCCATAAGTTGTGGTCTAACGCAGCTTGTCGATGAACCTACCCGTATCTCAGAAAGGGGCGAATTTGCAGCGCCTTTAGACTTGTTCCTAACCACAAATCCTGACTCGTACACAATTCAAGTAGATGCTCCACTTGGTTCGTCCGATCATAAACTTATAATAACAAAGTGCGAAATGCTCATCCCACCAAGCCAACAACCACTTCCTCGTAAAATGTGGCACTATAAATCGGCAAAATGGAATGACCTAAAACAGTTTTACCTGGATTTTCCATGGCAAGAGGTTTGCTTTAAAACAGCTGATCCCACTATTTGCTGTAATGAAATAACACAAGTAATCTTATCTGGAATGGATGCATATATCCCACATACAACTAAACGTAGAGCTAATGCAAAACCTTGGTTCAACAGCCAGTGTCAAACGGCTGTACAGAAAAAACACAGAGCATATAACCTTTGGAAACGACAACAAACCGCTCAAAACCACACAGAATTTATAGAAGCCAGAAATAGTTGCAAAATTTCTATTGACTCCGCTAAAGAAACATACAATCAAAGAATAAAAAACAGGTTGCTGAATTGTCCAAGTAGTTCTAGGTCCTTTTGGTCTCTTGCAAAAGCTGTTGGATCTAACTTCACCAAGTCATCCATACCACCACTTACAGATAAAAATAATCACTTAGCTACAACATCAGAGGAAAAAGCCAATATGCTGGCCCAAATGTTTTCCTCCAACTCCAACCTAACAGTGCCAAACGGAAAAACTCCACCGCTCATTGAAAGGGTTTCCCATAGTATGCCAGAGGTACCCTTTTGTCACAGAGAAATACGAAAATCCCTTAAAAAGCTAGATACAAACAAAGCAATGGGTCCGGATGGCATTCCCGCAATAGTACTCAAAAATTGCGCCAACGAACTCACCCCAACTTTCGCAAAATTATTCAATTTGTCTTACAGGCAAGGAGTATATCCATCATCATGGAAGTCTGCCGCAGTACAACCCATTCCAAAGAAAGGAAAAAAGACAGATCCGTTAAACTATAGACCAATTGCTCTACTTCCGGTGATATCAAAAGTAATGGAAAGAGTTGTGAACAATCACCTAACCAAGTACTTGGAAAAGTACAAAATTATCAACGATAAGCAATACGGATTTCGAAAATATAGGTCAACTGGCGATTTACTTACATACGTCACTCACTTATGGCAAAAAGCGATTGAGTTGCGGAGTGAAACAAGAACAATTACCTTAGATATATCTAAAGCATTCGACAAAGTTTGGCATGAAAATCTGCTCAACAAGCTCAAAGCAATGGGATTATCGCCGAAACTTTGCACTTGGTTTGAAAGTTACCTAAAGGACAGATCCATTTATGTTGCACTGGATGGCCAGAACTCCAACTCTTACCAAATAAATGCTGGTGTGCCACAGGGAGCAATCCTTTCGCCAACTCTTTTTCTGATTTACATAAATGACCTCATAGATAAAACAGTAAATCCACTTTATTGCTTTGCAGACGATGGCAATGTAGTCTCCTCACTCATACCACCCACAGGTCTTTCCGCACGTGAATTCCATCATCTTAGACTAACTCAAATATCGCAGATAAATAACGACCTGGAGATAATAGAGGACTGGGGTAACAAAAACCTTTTACAGTTCAACGCACAGAAAACCCAAGCAGCTCTGTTTTCAAAAAAGAACAGCACCGGTGAGCCAAACATCATGCTATCTGGAAGTGCTGTCACATTACAGAGTCAGTTGAACATCTTGGGGGTTACTGCAGAGACCAACATGTCTTGGCACAATCACGTGGCAGATATTGCTAAAAGGGCGTCCCAAAAGCTGGGGGTGCTATTTCGTACAAGACATCTGTACACACCAAGCCAATTGCTGACACTCTACAAAGCCCAGATTCGACCAACTATGGAGTACTGCTCACATATATGGAGTGCAGCACCCAAACATACCTTAATGCTTTTGAATACCGTGCAAAAACGAGCTATCAAGCTGATCAATGACCCCGCACTTACTCGTAACTTGGATGGTCTCGAACATCGCAGATCTGTGGGCGATTTATCTCTCTTCTACAGGTACTATCACGGAAAATGCTCTGAAGAGTTGGCACGTATGATTCCACCGAGAGTAGCGCCTACCAGGCGAACCCGTCAAACAGACGGTGACCATGAATTTACTGTCAAACTAGAGGCACCAATAAGAACCTCATTATATCAGAATTCATATCTCTGGAGAACAGCATCGCTGTGGGATAAACTCCCTGCGACGGTTTTCCCTGCAGGTTACAACCTGAACCGTTTCAAGACCAACATACACCGACATTTCCGCGCACTTGCCGCTTCTCGAGCGTGATAGGACATTTCCTTGCGAGTGCGCATATCTGTAAAAAAAAAAAAAATAATCTCTATGGCATGCATCAGATAACTGTTTACACCTAGCTCGAAGATTACTAAAATGTCAATAATCATTTTTATCATTATATTTCTTATACTGGGTATGAGCTGCCTTTTTATCTCTAACAAGCTGTCTTAGTTCCCCAGTGAACCATACAGGAAAAGACGAAGAGGTTTTTCTCTTTGGAGGAACAAATAGGCTGATAGCCTGTTCTAATATTGCATAAAATTTTGTATATAATTAAATAACATTTCGTACAAATATTCGTACATATATAAATTTGCGTAGGTGAAATGCAATAGGAATCCCTCAGCATCGTAAGGAACTTTTCAAGAAATTGTTCAGTTGTAATATTGCTATGATTTAAACTCAGCATTGTCACTTGCTACGTTAAAAAAAAATCTAAAATTGAACCTGCCAAACTTTTAAAGTCAATTTTCAGAAACATGTTTATTCGGGGATTTTGTACAGTTTATATACACCCCTGGCAAGTAAACATCTTGCATGCCAATTTTAATGCGATAAAATGAAATGTCTAGGAAAAGTCTTAGGTTGAATAGAGAACGAAAACGATTTCCCCTGTTCCACCTCTAGCATGCCCAGCACTTTTTGCTGGAGGTGGAACAGAGGAAATCGTTTTCGTTCTCTATTTAACCTAAGACTTTTCCTAAACATTTCATTCTATCGCATTAAAATTGACATCTAAGATGTTTACTTGCCAGACGTGTATAGGTATTCTACTCTTATTCTTGGCATCTTTTTTTTTGTCTTACTTTCTTAACCTCTGTTCTATCTTTTTTTTTTCTCTTCAAGGGATATTTAGATGTGATTCCGTTTTGATATTTAATTCTAATTAGAAACTTTATATAAAAGTTAACAACATTTACCATCTCTGTTAGTAAGTCATAATAGTATCTCGGATTTTAATAAAAGATGTCTGAATAGATGAATGATACAGAAATTAAATTTTTCTCAAACTATATTGTTTTTTTTTTGCACAATGTAAGTATCCAGCTTAACACTATTCGGCAGCAAACATTTTGTTTGTTTGCTCTTTCTTTGTTTAGGATAATTTTGAAAGTAAAATAATTCATTTATTCTTGCACATATTTTAATTACGGCTAAAAATAATAACAATAGTTAATATTATAGGTAGGTTACGATAAAAAAAGTATTAATTCTGTTCAATAGTACATACAATAATAATATAACAATAAATGGAAACTGACTAAGTACACTATCGGACAAAAGTAGAGCATCACTTATTATAAAATAAAATATTCACCAAAATACGGTGTACTTATCTAATAATTTCACGTTTCAATGAACGTGTACGTTGAAAAATGCCAAGATCAAGAAGGCCTGAAAAACATTATTGTCTATTTTATTAAGCTTTTAACTATAGTTGTTGTTTCTGTGTTGTTAAATGCAATAAAATGCTGATTTCTTTAAAGTGGCTCTACTTTTTTCGCGCTAATAAAGTGTATTGTTTGAATAAATTATTGCATACAAGTTAATTTGACATTTGAAAACAATTATATTTAGCCTGTCAGCCTGAAGCAAACTATGACATTTCGAACTGAAACGATTTTAATCTTCGCTAATGCTTATTTTATTTTTGAAGATTAAACATTTGATATTTTCATAAGTGTTGCTTTACTTTTGTCCGATAGTGTATGTTACTTCACTTCTAATGAAATATTTATGTTGGGCTCAATTTTTTGGAAATCCCAAAAAAATATTAAACAATACTAATGCAACAATAATAATTCATAAATATATAGGTATGTACTCTCGATCGTTTGGTCTAAGCCTTATTTTTAATTTGCACTGGGTTCTGTTTCATTTGAAGAATCATGGAACGCATCCGGGACAAGTCCTTGCTGCCAGGCTTGGCCTTGGAATTAAAGTCGCACAATTTAGCAATCCTTTCCCATTCAGTACCTGGCTCAATTTCGTCGTCTTCGGCAACAAATTGTTTCTCTGCATTTCTAAATAAAACAGATACCATTTAATGTAAGCAGCAAACTAAACGTTTGGTTTTTAATTCAAATGCGCAGTAAAAATAAACTTGCTTGTGTTTGATTAAAATATGAGTGGCCAAGTAATGGATGTTGGGATTGTTATGGCCATAGTTACATTCTGATTTTGGTTCCAATCACCTTTCATCATTTCAATTATAATTAATATTAAACCAGCTGAAGACATTAAAATAAACGTGAGCAAGTTGTCTCCATGAAATATAGTTACAAAATTAGAACTTCTATTTATTTCTAATCATATTGTAGGCAAATGAGATAGTATTTTATGTTCTCTTCATCAATCTTGAATCTTGGTTAGAAATAGGTATGTTTTATCACAAACTGGAAAGTTAATCTTGTACTGAGCATCTTTTTTGGCAATCTTCATCTTTCAGTTGTTGAATAAAAAGTATTTACCTACTTATTTATTTATATGAATAACTATCGTATACTTTTAAAAACTTCTTAGTTTTACTAATGTCATCCCTCTTTCACTGGACCAATGTCAATATTTTGTTGAGATGTATGTTACGTTATCCTTCAAAAGATGTCAAATTCGACAAATTACATTTTTCGTTTGTATCACTTAATCCTACTTTCGTGGTAGTCAAAATATCACCCACCTATACAGAGCTGTCACTATCTGTGAGATTTAAATCATATTTTTGATTTAAATACATGTTTTGATTTATAATTTTAATCTTTCTTTAAAGTATCTTTGATTTTTGATTGAAAATCAGATTCAAATCTATGAGAAACTTTCGTAATTCTTATTATGGATTTCTGGAACGTAAAAAACACCTTGTGGAAAAAACAGTTTGAAATGGACAGATAAAAGAAAACCTAACTCAAATGTTAAATGGATTTTTTTGCAGGAAAAATAACAGAAATTTTTAAGGAGAACTCAATTTAAATTTAAAACGTCATTTTATCAAGTTATTTGTTCGCCTGAAAAAAATGAATAACTTTATGGTATGGTTTTCAATTTTTTTTTCTCTCACATTTTTCATTTTATAAGATTTTCTGAATTTCAGATCTGTTGACATCATGTTTCTACATTTTCTGATCTATTTTTTAAAATTATGAATGACCTAAGTCCTAAGTAGTTTTTCTTATTGGAAAATTACAAAACGATTTAAATCAGTCTACATGATTTAAATTTCTAAAAATATTTAAATTTTTTGAAAACATTCGAATGTTTTGTAAAGATTTAAATCTTTCCTAAATGATTTAAATTGTGAATAAGATTTAAATATAAAAAAGATTTTTGATTTCAATTTTTCTTCATATACAAATCGATCTTTGATTTAAATCGTTTGTACAAATAAAAAGTATCCATGATCTTGGATTTAAATAATCTTGAACAGCTCTGCACCTATATTCCTGAAAAAAATTAAACTGCATATCCTTATACTTTTGCCTCGACTTTTGTATATCATTTAAATTATAATTCTTGATGATTTCTATGCTATGTCTGCTACATAAATATTGCTTTAATATAATTTATTAACATTCATAGGTATCTAGCTCTTTAAGTCTTTTCATTCTTTAGGTATAGTCTAAAAGGCAGCGGCGAAAAAATTATCTGAATTTACTAAGCTGTTTTTGGACAGTTAATTACAGTGGTTAGGTACATAAATATACCGCCGTCAGTCAAGCGAAACTTGGGACAAGGACCTAGGGTGTCTTGTTAAAGGTTTCGAGAAAACTTAGGTAATGCAACGAATTTACTAAAGCTGAAAATCATTATAAATATTATATATACCATATGACATATAGCATGAACAAGGGGAAGGCTGGGAGCAGGTAAAACATCGTAACCACCGCAATAGAAGGTTTTTAGAGGGAAAAGATGAGTCTAGTGCGAATATTTAGGGTTTTCCGAAACAAGTTTCCCTTCATGTCTCTCGACTCAAACCTTCTACTAAGCCAGATAAATAATTGAAACAGTTTTTGAGTGCTAAATTCCCAGAGGTGATCTCCTCACTGAAACATGGTTGAATGATGGATTTCATGGCATGGAATTTTTTGATCACAGGTAAGTAGTGGTCAGAAAAGATAGAAACACTGGTCAGTTAAGGGGGGAAGTGTACTTCTTGCTATCGGAAGAGAAATTCCTTCCAGTGTATAATAGTAAAATTGAAGTACAGGAAAACATATTTTTATGCATGTGTTGTCTATTTTCCACCTAATGCAGATGCAGAGACCTATGATGGTTTTTTCAATTTATTTGAGGATATGTTTGTGAATAGGGATTCTAATGACAATGTGCCCATTTTAGGAGATTTTAATTTACCATATTTATTTGATAATAACAGTGATAAGAATTTCTTGATGCAGCAGTATCTTAGCTTGTACAATTTACAGCAATAATTTGATGAATAGATATATAGATTTGGTATTGTCACATATGTGCTTGTCGTGTATTGGCTCGTCGGACAGCCCTCTATTGTCTGGGGATCCTTATCACCCAGCTCTCATTGTCGAGATGTTCCTTGAAAATTAGATATTAACACAAATTATATACAAAAAAAGTTTAAATATGACTATTCTAAGGGCAATTTTGGATTGTTATACGAGTTGCTCAGGGATTGTGAATGGACCCAAGAGCTGACGAGCACTAATATAAATGATGGAGTGGATAGGTTCTACGAATGCTTATACTTATCCGTTCCTAAATATGGAATAAAAGAGAACAGACATCACTTGCACACTCTGATTATGAGAGACAGCGCCGGTGTTTCAGAGCGAAACGAATTTACAACTTTAAGTAGGGAAATTAAGATTCAAACCAAGAAAGAGTATCCTGAGCACAAAAAAACGGTTAAAGAAAGTTTGAAGCTTGATCCGAACACTTTCTGGTCTTCTGTGAGTGGTAAGTCGGGCCATGGTGGGATACCACGGGAAATGGTGCTTGACAATAGCAGGTTCGCTGACTCTATAGGTATAGCAAATGCTTTTGCACATTATTTTCAATCTGTTTTTGAGGAAGCCAACAACCAAATTTCCAATTGCCAAACCCAAGCTGACCACACACTTTTTAACTTTTCCTGCATTTCGGATCATGACATTCTTGACAGTATCAAATCTTTAAAATCAAAAAGATCAACTGGGCCTGATAGCATACCAACCTATATTTAGAAGGGATGCGTCGAATTTTTCCTATATCCATTAAAATTAATATTTAATTTAGCATTGAAACAGGGCTGCTTTCCTGATATTCTTAAAATGGGAGTAATTGCGCCCATTTTCAAGAATGGTAACAGGGAGGATATAAGGAATTACCAGCCAATAAACTTACCGAATAGTCTAAGTAAGATATTTGAAAAGATTCTGTACAGTGACCTTTTGTGTCATATTTATAATAATATATAGCATATTCAATACGGGCTCCTGGAAAACAGATCTACAGTTACCAGCCTATGTTGTTTCTCGGAATGTGTGTCTGAAGCCATCACTAATAGGAAACAACTGGATGTTATATACACTGACTGTGCAAAAGCATTTGACAAGGTAGATTATGGCATATTGCTGAGCACGTTGGCTAATTTTGGTCTTCTCCTAAAGCCTGTAACTTTTTCAGGTCATATTTGTCACAACACCAACAGTCTGTCAAGGGTCCTCTGCTTTTTATAATATTTATGAATGATCTACCTGAATGCTTAATGTAATCCTATAGTTTGCTGTATGCTGATGATTTCAAGTTTTTAAAACGGCGGTTTCTTGTGCAAAGGATTATGCTGACTTGCAGTTTGATTTAGATGCGGCCATGAAATAGTTTAAAGATTAAAGAATGCCAGTGAATACGGAAAAGTGCTCGGTAGTCACATATATCCAGAAGGTTAATTATCTCGCTTGATGAAGATTACTTTGTGGGCGATGTTGAATTGGTTATAAAAAATGAAATTGAGGACCTAGGCGTTATTTTTCATGATACTTTCAGATTTGATAACCATTACATGTGCATTATTAATAAAGCCTACAAAGATCTAGGCTTTGTTATACGTAACACAAAAAATTTTTTCATTGAAACTATTATAATCTTGCATAATTCTCTGGTGAGGCCACATTTGGAATATTCTAGTAATATTTGGAATCCAACAACTGCAGTAAGCACCAATAAAATAGAAAAAGTTCAAAAACGGTTCTTACAATATCTTTATGTTAAGAAAAATAATGTTTATCCATACATGGTCTCATACAAATCCATGCTTGATGATAAGTAAATATTTGATTAATATTCCTATAAGAAAGGATAAATTGATGTTAAGAAGCTATAATGGTGGCACTTTTGTACTTGAAGGTTATGTTTCTGTCGAGGTTGGTTATGCAAATAAGAAATTGAAAATGAAATTGCATGTTATTAAAAATGGAGGCCCAATGATTTTGGGTAGAGATTTTTTCATTGCTTTCAATTATTGTTTGTAATAATATTTTATTTCAGAATAGACTGAATAATAGTTACAAAGAGATTACAAGTCTGATTCTGAGGTTTCCGGAGGTTTTGTCTAACAAAATCGGGAAATCTAATTACAACAAAATTTCACTTCAGCTTAAGCCAGATACAAGGCCAGTCCCACTTGCTTATCGTAAGATGCTGGACAGGCTGATTGGAGAGGGAATTTTAACACCAGTAGAGACAAGCGAATGGGCTACACCGTTGGTGGCAGTGCTGAAGCCTGATGGTGAGTTACGCCTGTGCGGCGATTAGGTTTCTAGTGGAAGAGCATTAACCAATTCCAACGACAGCCAAGATCTTCACAAAGCTACGGGGAGGCGAGTACTTTAGTAAACTGGATTTAAATAGAGCTTATAACAAATTTGAACTTGACGACAATGCAAAAAAAAATGTTATGATGGTCAACACATAAAGGTATTTTTACAATGGAAAGACTGCCATTTGGAATATCTCCAACTAGTGGTAGATTTCAGAAATATTTAGAAAAATTATTTCAGGGTATGGAACATGTGGCGGCAAATTTTTTGGACGGCATAATTATTACAGGCAAAGATCGAGAGTCGCATTTGAGGAATCTGAACAATGTCTTGGTGAAGTTGAAGGATGCAGGACTGACACTAAGACGAGAAAAATGTAGATTCTTTGAAGCTGAAATTGTTTATTTGGGATACGTCATCCATAAGGAAGACTTGAAGAAGGATAAATCCAAGGTTCAAGCCATTGTTGAAGCAAAGAACCCAACTAACATTACTGAAGTAACATCTTTGCTAGGTACAATTAATTTTTATGCTCATTTTGTTCCAAAATTGTCAGATATATTGAATCCTATCTATAAATTGTTAAAGAAAAATCAAAAATTTCATTGGTCAAGTGAATGTCAAAAAGCTTTTGAGCAAGTCAAGAAAATCATGCTATCAGATCAAGTTCTTGTTCATTTTTATCCAGGCTTGCCTATTGTTTTATTCACAGATGCGTCAGAAACTGGAATTGCTGCGGTTCTAGCACACAGAATGGAAAATGGTCAGGAAAAGCCAATATGTTGTATCTCGAGAACGTTAAACAAGGCTGAAGAATCCTACTCAGTTATTCACAAAGAGGGTTTAGCAATATATTGGACAGTAGCAAAGCTGCAGAAATACTTATTTGTCAAAAATTCAAAATTAGATCAGCCCATCTTCCACTGATTTCATTGTTTAAGGAAAACAAAGGGTTGCCTAAGATGCATGCAAATCGTCTTCAACGATGGGCAGCATTTTTGGCAGGGTTCAATTATTATAAAATCAAACATATTAAGGGAGATAAAAATTACCATGCAGACTTTTTATCTAGGGTACCACTAAAAAACACTGAAGATAATGAGGAGAACTGCAACTTTATTAAATTAACATCAAATATTGATAATGAAAAACTTGGTCAACACACAAAGAATGATCAAGAAATTCAGGAAGTAATGAAATACCTGAATGTAAATAGATGGCCAAATAAAATTCCAACATGGCTGAAGCCATACCACTCTAGAAGGAAGGGTCTTAGTATTGAAAATTATGTGTTAATTTGGGAAACCAGAATGGTCATTCCAAGAAGCTTAAGGGCAGATATTTTGAAAATGTTGCACCAAGAACATTTTGGGATCTACAAAATTAAAGCAACAGTTTCGTTTTTTTGGCCTAATATGGAAACCGACATTGAACAAATAACATCATCATGCATGCCATGTCTAATGAACAGGCAAAGCCTACCAAAAGCTGAGATAACTCCATGCCCGGAAGCATCAGAGCCTTGGAGCAAAATTTTTATCGATTTTTGTGAGCCAAAGGGTCATAAATTTCTAATTATCAATGAGGACCATAACAACTGGATAAACGATAGAAAACCTGAGTGAGGTATTTGCACGATTTGGGTTGTCAAAAACACACAGCGATAATGGCAAACAGTTAGTCTCAGCAGAAATGGAGAAGTTTTTGAAGCTCAACAGCATTAACCACATAACAAGCCCACCATTTCACCCAATATTCAACGGAAGAGCAGAAAGTTCTGTTAAGACTTTCAAGCAAAAGCTCAAAACTGCTTTGACGGACACAAACAATCAGGGAATTAGTTTAAGAAGTTTGGTAGCCAGAAAATTATTTCAATATAGAACTTCTGAACATTGCACCACCAAAGAAACACTAGCTAGCTCAATGCAAAACAGACCAGTAAGAACAAGATTTACCATGCTCAGAGAAAAACTGAAAGATAATAATAAAACTTCAACAAATAAGGATGATGAAGAGAACCTAATTAGACAACAACAAGAAAACCAAATAAACAAGCCCAAAAGTTCGAGAAGAGCAAAAGAGTTTGAGGTAAGTAACAAAGTCATGATCAGGGATTATAGGGTTTTAAATAAAAAGACATGTACGCCCGCCGAAATCGTACAGCAAATTGGTAAGTCAACTTATTTTTGTAAGATTTCAGAAGGTAACATTTGGAAAAGACATGTAAATCAGATAATATCACGTGATGAACCTATCCAGCCATGTCCTGTTTTTTGTTCTGATTTTGAGCGAGAGGGTGAGCCTGGTAAAATTAATCAAACATTTTCAGATTATTCGTTTTCAAATGATATTAAATACACACCCCTACGAACCCTAGAATCTTACTCAAACAGCCAAACAAATAACGATTCGATATTTTTTGATGCAGAGTTCGAAGAATTTGCTAATAAATGTGGAGACCAAATGGTTGTAAATGAAAATTCTGCAAACTCTGTTGATTAAACAAATATAGGAACTAGGATTGTAGAATCCAAGAATGTGACGAAGGCTGTGAAACAAGACTCTAGCGGTTCTAAGAAATGTAGTGTCACTGGAAAGATAGACGAGCGTCCAAATAGAAACATCAAGTTGCCAGAAAGATACGAAATTTGATACTGGTAACATTTTTATTGTTTTGGATTTAAGGGCTGATTTTAAAGATTGTAAAAAGTGTAACATTTTTATTATTGTACACTATGTTTGTAAATTGTATGTTAAAATTACTTATTATCTCGCTTATTATACAATGTGGAAACGAGGTCAGCTAAGAAGGGAGATGTTGTGGTGTAAGTACACCGGGATCAGAATCACATGACCTACTCTGTGTTCTAGAGTAAACGAACCTTCAGCTAACAAGTGAGAAGATTATACCTATCTCTGTTCCACATGACGCTCCACGTCGAATAGAAGACGGACGAGAGTTTGTCTTTTGTCAACGCTTGAACGTGAATGTCCAGGTCTTAGGGAGTGTCCTCTTTTTATTTATGTAATCGTGAATAGAAACTTCAATTATTATCAAAGTGTTTTATTTCGTCCTCCACGCCATCACCGACATAACATCTATGTTAACTGTTTTATTTTTCTATGTTGTCTGTCTGATTTTATCTTATTTTATTTTGTTTTGTATTCTTAGAGTAATTTTTATACTAAGACCTATTGTTGTTATTGAGCCGTTGGCTATCTGCGAGCCTTTACATGTAATTACCTACCTCAGGTGTTTGTTAAGTGAATCAAATAAAATAAATAAATACTTAAATATAAATAACAGTAATGTTAGTCAGTCAGTTGAATAACGGAACCGTGCTGGTCATTCAGCCTAAATATATGTAAAAATCCCTCAAATCAAATCTAGAAGAAATAATTACTATTAATCTATACTTCAACCTACAATTTTGAATTGTCACTGTCTCTGTTACTAGTTTCACTGCCTCTTTTTAAAAAAAATAGACCTATTAATATTTTATACATTGGGGTTGACCTACCTCAATGGGGCTGACTGACCAGCATGATTCTGCTATTCAACTGACTGACTAACATCACTGTTATTCATGTGTAATATATAATAGGTATAACAATTTTCAGCCTTAGTAACTTCGTTGCATTACCTTAGTTATCTCGACAACTTTAACAAGACACCTTAGGTCCTTGTTCTAAGTTTCGCTTGACTGACCGCGCTATATTTATGTACATAATTATTGTAATCAACTGTCCAAAAACTGGCTTTAGTAAATTCAGAGAGTTTTTTCGGCGCTGGCTCTCCGTCTAGTATACCTACGAATATTCAGCATTATTTGTGATCGACTCTCTATTCATAATTATTCTTTCAAACCCATTTGAGTTTAATTTCAGCTATTTCTACTGAAAATAATCCAGAACGACTCTTTTCTATAAACAGATTTAATGTCTCTTTATTTTTGGTTACTTGCAGGCTATTTCTATAATTGATGGTTTTTGGTTATCTCTAGGCTTATACTCCTGTTTTACGCTATAAAAGCTGCTTTGCTTTCTTCTGAAGAGTTTTCTTCATGTGACCGCAAACCATAATTTGTAATTGATGGGCCTGGATTTTTTTTTTACCTTTCACTTTGAATGTATAAACCATGTAAATTGGTTTATCAGACCAACCAATAGAATACTGTATCGTATTTACTTTACATAAAGTGCTTTCTTCATGGAGCATTTGTTTTTATTTATATCACGCAAAAGTGATTTTAGTACAAATTTGCATTGTAAACGTTTTACTGCGCATTTGAATTAATTTATGAGACTTAAAATACCCAGAGGTTTATTCTTAAGCCTAATCCAGACCTACATACATTTGCCGCCAACATTTAAACATTTGTATAAAAACTGTTTAGAACTTGTATAAAAGTTGGTTAAAATGCATTTGGAAACATTTGTTTAAGAACATTTAAACAAATGTTTAAAGTTTTTTATTTCCTGTCAGGATGGGAAATTTTGTTCTTATACTCGCTTTTGAAGCAAGTCTGGACGCGTTCAAAGCAAATGTTTGTTGTTTTAAGCAATCGTATCAGTGGTGGTGCTATTTGGCTACACGTTTTTGCCTTTAGTTTGGACGCAATTGCTACCTCGTTTAAAAACTGAATGTTCTTTGAAATGAAACACCTACACACGTGTATAAATGTTTTGTTTCTGGGCAAATGTTTCCAAACATTTGTTTGTGGGCAGTGTATGTAGGTCTGCACTAGGCTTCAAGCTAAAATATATGCCAATAAGTTATTAGAATAGTAAAGCTCTGCAATGTTTTAAGAATTATTCGCTAACTAACCCAAACTAACCCAACCTTTTGATGTTTTGTATAAGTCCAGAATATAAATTCCAAATTTTGATTTGATTTTCAAAACTCAGCCAACAATCATCATGAAAGCAAGATATTTTCTTGTCTCATCAGGGTAATAAATGCATTGTTGAAGACAAGCTGATACCAACCAATAATCCCCCACACGAAAATAACCAAAACACATACTAACTTTGACAATTGTAAAAATTATTTTAAGAAGACTTACTTTGCCGCATCCCTGTTAGTGTTTGAAAAAAAAAGAAGTTTTTATTAGCCATGAACTGTTAAACATGCATCTCATTTAGATTAATAACAATTTTATGCTTACCTATTAGCAGCTTTAGTTTTTGCAATAGTTTCCTCGTGGTTTCTGTACCAATCGGCCAATTCCTTTTTCGCTTGCTCTCTCAATTCTGCCTTTTTCTTTTCTTCTTGCTTATCTGAAACGCTGAAAGTTAACTATCTCGTATTTTCCACAGAACCCAAACTAACCTTTCTCTTCTAGCCTCTTAACTTGCTCCTCTCTCCATATTTTTATCTTCTCTGGTTCCTCTCTAGCCTGATGCAAGGACACTGGAGGAGATATTCCAGAACCTAGAAAAAAAGAAATTTGAAAATGTGTCTCAAAAAGTCTTTCACAGATCAATACTAGGTTATAAAAACAAAACAAAAACAGAAAGGAAAGACGTCACATGATACAAAGCTTACCAAAGTCAACTGGTTCAGTAACATCGTAACGACTTAGCTTAGACTGTTCAGCCAAAGAATCTAATGAAACAAAAAACTAATAATCACCTACCAACAACTAAATCACTAAGTGATCCATTCTTGCTATAAAATTATCTCTACAATGCAACATTTCAAAATAATATTCAATTATGTCTACAATGCAAAATTCTAAAATAAACATACTTGCAGAAATTATAATTCTTGTAAGAGTGTATTGTTTTGTATTGTATTGTTTTTTACTGATACTCACCATATTCAAAAACCGATGGGTTTTCATCAACAAACTCTTTTTCCTGATCAAAGATTTCTTTTTTAATTTCAATGCCTTCCTGTTCAAAATTATCAACCATTTCAAAACTGCCTGCAGAATTAGTGGGATCGTCTGCACATGTAAAGCAAAATAAATAACCATTCAAACTAAATAAATAGCGATAAAGTAACAAAATAATGAAGTTTTTGATGCACAAATTAATTAAATTCAAAAACCGTTTTTTTAAATTAATTTCTATTATGTATTGTCACTGGTCAAAGTTACATATTGTGGGTTTTTATTAGGTCTGTTCCAACACGTCAAAAAATCGTCCCATGAACGGGTTTGAAACCTCTCAGTATACGAATTTTGGTTTCTGTGCACAAATTTTAGGTTGTACGCAGAATCTTCGGTACATTGTACGGTTTTCTGCAGTGTTGGAAAAAAACTATTTTCGTCCCAATCTGTATCAAGAGTATCTGATGTCCATACTCTGTCCATTGGTTAGAAATATACAGGTCACTAATAGTACAATAGGTTTGTTCCAACACGTCAAAAACCGTCCCATGAACGGTATAGAAACCACTCTGTATACGAATTTCGAGTTCTACGCACAAATTTTTGGGTTTGCGCAGAATCATGAGGGTACATGGATCCTTGATGTGTTGGAACAAAGCTAATGTATGATTTATTATAGGTTGGTTCCTGTGTTCACATTCAGGAACCTTGTGTTCACATTTACTTTAGCTTTAGTTAGGTACACTGTTTGATGGATGTCGCCACGCGTTCTATTTCTGAACCTGAAATTATTTTGTCAAGGAGAACTTTGTTCTTATCTGCAAGTGTCTTTCTATTTTGATATCGGGTTTTTTGAACAGCGTATCGCATTCTTTGCTATTTTATCGTAAGCTGGGCAACTACAAAGACGAACTAAATTGTGTGCAATAATTTGAATTGTTAGCCGCTCTTTGTCTGAGTGCCAGGTAAATATTTATTAATCTTACATTTTTATGCCTTTTAAATTTATTACTGTACATTTTTCCAGTTTTTCGGATTGCACATGTACGTGTTTGCAAATAAAGTCATCTGGTCGCCACAACAAGTAGTCTTTTATTTGGGACAAATAGAATCAATAGAAACTGAGGTAGGATCGAACCGAATTTATTCAGTACTAAAAATTACAACAATGGCCCTATTGCTACGGCTGGGGCTTGTGAGGCAACGGCCAAGCCTGCTCGGGATTGGCTACACTCGCAGATACATCAGCCGGGGGCACAAGCACAATTCAATCCATCTCCAAGGCAAGTTCCCAAAGCTGTTGTTCCAGTATTTTGTGTATCTTCAGAGGATGTCACCAGAACTATGCAAAATTTCAATTTAGTTAATATTAATCATGGTTTATGCAATAAAGGTAGCAGTAGTACTAACAGTGATAGGGAGTAGGGACAACAATAATTATTTTAATTCCTTATGTACGAGAGCTATCCAGTTTTGATGATCGTGGTAATTAATATACATCCAATTAATTTTTTGAATTAAATTGAAATGCGTTTGAAGACAGAAAGTTTGATATTCAGAGAAATATATTGTATCATTATTGGGCTTTTTAAGGGTCCTGCAAAAATTTGTGCGGATGTTTTTTTTTGACCACTTTTTTTTTAAAAAAGCTTTTATACAACAATTTTGGGGGCCAACTAGGCAGTTACAGGTCAAATTAGGGATAGAGTCGGCGCGGTACGAGGACGGTGAGGGACCTTTGGTGGACCACCTTTATTTTATTTATTTATTTATTTAGCAATAGTTATAATTTATGATATACACTTCGTAGACATACTTAAGATTTTTAAAAATATTTAAACTTAATAGGTTTGTTCATTCAAAATAATTAATAATTTACATTTTTAAGCCTTTTAAATTTAGCACTGTAAATTTTTCCAGTTTTTCGGGTTGCACGAGAAAACTATTCCCACACAAATACTACCTAATAATGGTAAGAAATTATGTTAAGTATATAATTTAAAAATCATCAGTTATTGTTTAAGACATTAAGATTATTTTATAAACCAAATGATATTTCTGGTTAGATCTTTCTTTTAATTTGAATCATATTTAAGAAATGAGAAAGCACACGATATAGATGAAACGATTAAAATCAAGCGAACCCTGGATACCCAACCTCAAACTGAATATCATTGTAGCATGTATCATTGTAGTTGAAGGAAGTTGTAGCCGAACTAAAAGCTCAAAAGGAAAGTGGTGAGTCCAACCTTGAAATTAAATATTATAAGGGCCGATACTTTTGCTCTCGATTAACGAATTTGATATGTTGTTAAAGTTTTGCATGGGTGAAGGTCTATAAGTATGATGTGGTTAGAGCACATTCAAACCCCTGATTATTTTTAACGGCTGTCAAATAAGAGCAAAAGTACCAGCACTAACTCTATTCCAAAAATTATAAAGATCAGGCCAGATCCAAAAAACTAATAAGCAACAATCCGGGTAGCAGTTCGGAGATTGAAATTACCTTTGGGTACAGTAACTTGCAATCTATTACCAACAAAATAAATGAATGGTCAATATCAATACAAAAACATATTCCTGCGTCGGGTGATGCGTTTCACATGTGCATGTCAATTTTAAACAATGCTATAGACAAGTTCATTCCGTGAAACAAACCCATAGAAACCATGGCTAAACTAGTTCATATTTAAACAAATAGAAAAGAAATGAGGTCTATGGGACAAATACAAAAAATCAGCTACAGAAGACAGTTACAAAAAATATCGCGAACAAAACAACTAACTTACAAGTGTAATAAGAAAGTCAAGAAAAGACTATGAAACTTTTGACTGACGACTTCGATGCAACAGAATGCTTTGCAAACTAAATTGAAAAGGTATTCACCGAAGGAAATCAAACCGAAATGCCTCTAATTCCGGAATACCTACATGCAACATCACAGATGTCAAATATGGACTTATACTTATGTCCTGATAAGGTGTATGAAGCAATAAAATCGTTGAAGATGGATTCCAGCCCAGGCCCTGATGATATTCCAGCAGTGTTCCTGCAAAATTGTGAAGCCATCCTGAGCCAACCCTTGTCTGATCTCATGAAAAGTATTTCTGAAGCTTACAACTTTCCTGCGACTTGGTCAACATGGTTTGTGATTCCGATATACAAAAAAGGAGACAAAACCGCTCCATGGAACTATCGTCCAATAAGTTTGACATGCAATTTATGAAAGTGTATGGAAAAAATTGTAGTGAAACCGATAACCCCATTTTTCCTGGAGCAAAATCTATTACTGAAGCACCAACATGGCTTTCTTCCAGTGCGTTCTACTAGAACCAATCTCACACTATACTTGGACGACTGGACAAGGGACTTTGACAATAATGTGCAAGTGGATGTGATAATCTCGATTTCGAGACGGCATTCGATAAGGTGTGCCACACCTATCTCCTGCATAAATTACATCACTTTAGCATTGCAGGGAGCTGGCTACAATTTGTATCGAATTTTCTATTGAAACGTTACTATCAATCAAGTAAAAATAAAAGCAACATTTTCAGACAGAAAAAAAGTCCACAGAGGGGTGCCCCAGGGATCAGTACTGAACTCTCTACTTTTTCTAGAATATGTCAGCGATATGACATTAAATATCCAAACCAAAATCCTACTTTTTGCCGACGAGTAGAAAATTGTATGCAAAGGCCGCAAAACACAAGAAATTGCAAGAAGATCTCAGAGCTATAGAAGTGTAGTCCAATACCTGGAAAATGAGACTAAACAAAGAAAAATGTACTACCTTGAGCATTGAGGCCAATACCACTGAATATGTCTACAAAATAAACAATGTTAAGCTGAAGCATGTGAAGGTATTTGAATAGAAGTACAAAAGTTATTCTTACTGACTCATTGGTTCTATCACATCTGAATTAAGAAGACGTTATATACGACTCACACATTCGCCAAACTGAAGTACGAAGGTTGCAAACAAAATGTAGGTGTGTGTAAGTAAGATTAATTTGAGGACTCAAAAGAAGGCGCCATATCTCAACACCCCTTCACCAACTTAGCTGGTTGAATATGAAAAAAAGACGATTCTTGCACTTCTCAATTCTCGCAGAGAACTGTTCTCTACCATGGGTCTTTTACTAATTCCATCGCAAGAATCTACAATAAAATGTCTCATTCTTAGAAATGTTTTGAAACTTAAAAGTATTGCCTCATTTAGGAATGTAATTTAAAACGATTTATTTCTGGGTAATATTTTAGTTTAGAAATACCTCATCTCGTTATGATCATTTAATATATTGCCATTATCAAATGAATCTCTTCTCATCTCCTTAGATTTTCTTTTCTTTTTTCTCTTTTGTTGAACATTTTTAATGTATTTAAATTATTTAATTGTTCCCATTAATCACGCTGTTGTCTGTAATCTTGTATTAACTTTTAATTAATTTAACAACAAAGGTGTTTGCTTAGGAAAAAACGGCTGTCTATAGTTTTGATGTTTATCAGTATAAATCAGAGTAATATTATGATGATCAAATAATTTCTCATTGTGGCATGTTATGGTGATTAAGCCAGGATGTGCCACGTTTAATGGTATGTACCTATAAGTAGTTGATGATATTAGGAGACTGAGTAGGAGACAATAATAGGGAGCTTTATTGAAATAACAATTATTAGATTTAGTGCCGGTTTATTAGTTTTCTGATAAATCGTCAGGTATGCAATTTGACAGATAAAAACGCAATTTGTAATGCTGTTTATCTGAAGATGAATAAACCGGGTCTAAATCAAATAAATGAAAGGTACAGATGTGAATAAGGACATTTTTGTCAAATTTTTTGAATCTATTCAAAAATACAATCTTTATGAATTTTTAAAAATGATGTTGTTGTCTAGTAGTTTTGGATTTTTCAGAGGATTTCTTAATGCAGCCAAGAAGCCTGGTCAAGAAAATGACAATAGAGCTGCCAGGTGCCAGGCTGTGCAGTACGATGGTGTGACGTCGGCGGGGCAGGAAATAAGAATAGGGGCGCCTCAAGGGTCCATTCTGTCATGTTAACGATTTGCACTTAATGGATGAAAAGTCTAATTATACTTTCTTGGCCGACGACACGATCTTTGTGATGGCGGACTCTCTTGAGGCTTCGCTGATGGGTTTTCTGGAGGTATAGAGGATGGCAATTCGAACAGGCAAGTGTTGAACAGGAGCAAGACAGAGAGAATGGTGTTTGCTTTAAGAGAGATTAGGACGGTGAGGGAGCAAGTTCCTGAAGCTAGGTTCCTTGGGGTTCTTATTTTATTATTATTACCATGTAATAGGTTAAGTCTGCTTTGTCAACAAATAGTCATATTATGTATTTCTGAGACAATAAAGCAATTTTTGATATGATTTGATTCTTATTGACCCAAAAGCACAGTGGGGTATACACATTGAGCCTGTAGCGTCACAGCTGAACAGAAATTTGTATCTGCTACTTCGTCTTGCAGAAAATGTGTCCCCCATGGTACTAAGAACTGCTTATTTTGCAACTTTTCAGATACAGCTTTCCTATGCTGTACTTGTATGGGGTCATGCCTCAGGTGCTCAGCGTTTGTTCGGATTGCAAAGACGGGCAGTCAGGGTGGTGAGTGGTTTGGGTGAGAAGGATAACTGTAGGGCGGCTTTCCAACAGCTAGGAATACTTGCCCTGCCTTCTCTATATATTCTGGAAAATTTGCTCTATATAAAGAGCAATACTCATCTGTCTTCAACTCACAAAGACATATGCCTCTCCCATCAGAAACAGAAGTAATTTAATACCAGGTTACAGGCGACTGAAGAGGTGTCAGAATGGCCCTGGCTACTGGGCAATAAAATATTTTGATGTGTTGCCATTCAAAATTAAAGAACTACCAAATAATACACACAGCATCAAAAATCTTAGACCCCCCAAATTTCTCAGAAAATAAAAAAGATTGATTGATTCTCGGATTGATTTGATTGAAGGTCCAAAAACTGTATTTATTGAAATTTTTAGTTTAAAAAAAAAAAAAACCTATGAATAAAAAATAACAACATCAATATTCAGTGTGATCTCCTCTGTTCTCTAGGCACGCATTGACCCGCCTTATAGCATTGAGAGAATCAGATTGTCTATCTGTTCTTGACGCATATTGTTCCATTCCTCCTGTGACGCCACAATCAACTCTTGAAGGGTTATCGATGGGTTTGGTATTCTTAATATGGCTTCTGAAAGCGTATCCAATACATGCTCAATCAGGTTCATGTCCGGCGAGCTTGCTGGACAGTTCATTCTCTCGATATTGGATTCAGCTAACATGTTTTGGATCATTCTATAATGCGATGTGGGTGAGCGTTGTCCTCCATAAAAATAAAATTTGGCCCAAACTTATTTCTCCAGGGTAGAACAATTGGCCTGAGAACATTTTCGAGGTAGATATTTTCCGTCAGCACCCCTGGTATGTCAATAAGAGGAGTGTGGTAACCTACATTATGCCCCCCTAAAACTGTGCCTCTTTGATAGGGAACCACTTCTTGAGGAAAGGCCAGACGTGCTGCGTGTCCTAGTTCTCTCCATACCCTTACACGGCGGCTGTCACTTGCCAGTACAAATCGGGACTTGTCAGAAAAAAAGACATTTCTCCATTGAGGTAAAAGCCAGTTTCTGTGATTACGGCTCCATTCTGAGCGGTCAGCTCTATGTCCTCTATGTCTTCTCAATCGCAAATTGGCACTGGCCAGCTTTCGCAAAATTGTAGGCCTGGAAATGACTCAACCATATGTTCGTCTGAAATGCATTCTTATCGCTGTGACACTGATATTCCAATTATGTGGAACAAAATTGGCTCAATCAAATATCGGTCCTCCCTTTCATCTGTAACACGATGCCATGTGTCCTATTCACACCTATAGTTTCTTGGAACAATTGCACTATTCTGATGACAGACGATCTGGGAATGCCAAGTCTCTCTGAAATCCTCTATGATGTGACCAGTCTTGTTGGTGTGGAGCGATTATTCTGGCTCCATTAAAACTGGAAATTTGATGTCCAGGCATTTTTGAACAATGGAGAGCAACTTATAATTTTTGAGATTTACAAGAAACTGACAATTGCTATAGTTAAAGAAAGAGATTTTTTGGCATTTCTAATTTTTGATAAAAAAGCACCTATTTCTAACAAAAAAATATTTTGATGAAGGTCTTAGGTTTGGTTTTATACAGGGGGGTGTAAGTTTTTTGAAGCTGTGTGTAGAATTAAGGAGAGATTGAAACAAATGTTAACTTTAAATGTGTTTTATTCAAATGAAAAATATTTTAAGTATTTTTGTCATAATCAATAGCGTTAATTGTACCTTTTGTATTTTATTTTGTAACTTGATTGTATGTATAGAGCCCAGTGCCTTAATGATTTTTTAATTCAAGTTAATGTTTAATGTGCAAAGTGTGCAAATGAATTGTCATTTTGTATTTTGTTGTCATTTATTATTGATCTGTATTTTATTTATTTTGACTTGTACATTGCTCTTTTGTGATCTTAACATGAATAAAGAATTTGAATTTGAGTTACTTGACTGCAGACCTCAGTCCAATCGAAGAATATTAGGTATTCTTTAAGTAGGTCATATAGCTCAGGTCATAGTTAATTGAGTTTTTTGCTTGTTGTTATAGTTATTTGTTTGTTGGCCATATTGCTATTTTTTGTTTATCATTATTGGATAGTAATCTGTTATGTAGGGGTATCTAAGACATAGAGAGAGTCCATGTCAAGTGTGTTGTTTATAAAAAAAATGATCAATACATGAATTCATATCATATCTTGTTGATTGGATATAAGTAAGGGTAGTAAGGCAAATATTGATTAACAGTTGCATTATTATTCACAGCCTTGATGTTAATGTGAATGTCTCCTGTAAATATTTCAATATTATCATTTGTATTATTGGAGAAATATTCATTCTGATCCTGAACAAAAGTGGCTGTTATTTACTAATTTACTGGCTTCCGAGACTTTATTTGATTATAGAGGCACAAAATGTACTGGGATCCTGTTGGGAATCATTGAAAGTAGTCTCGAAAATAGAGTTTCTTCCACAATTTTCATTTTACTTAGGTACAAAGTGCTCTTCAATTTTTGCGAATTTGAATAAAGGATATCAGCGTATCAAAAACATCAAAATCTTCATTATTTATTAACTTAAAAAATAAAATAATAACTAAACTACGTGCAAATTAGAATGTATTTAAATTTTAAATTAAAAAAATCTCACCTCCATTGGCCATGGCCATAGAAACAGTGACAGCCGCAGGTTTCACTTCGTCTTCCAGCCCAGCCAGTTCGTTCTGTTCTCTTGCCAAAAAGTCCGCGGCAGGGTCCACTTCTCCCTGTTCGAAATTATCGCCAAATCCAGACATTTTTTGAGATTTTCTTCGAAAAAGAGCAAATTCTATGGGAGGATCTCTGGCTCTGGGACCACGCAAAACATAAACAAAAATCGACACGACAGAAAGTTTTGACACTTTTGAAAGCTAAGAGCAAATGCTAATGGCGTTTTCCATTTGTCGTCTCAGTGCAGCATTCAGTGCGCACGAGAATTTTTCTAGTGTTGTCAAAAACGCGCACCAGTGCAGTATAAATGGAAAGCAAAAATGCAGACTCGGCTCGGATTCTGGGGTTATGTAAAATCTTATGTTGATGTGCGTTTTTATTCTCATCGATGGATTCACCGATGAGTTAGCTATCTTTGTTTAGTGAATGGAAAATGACAATGACCGACATAGAATGGTGGATCCATCGGTCAAATTTGATGAGAATAAAAACGCACGTTTGGTTAGTTGTTTTTGTTTAGCATTTGCCGGTTTCTGGTTACCTGCTCTGCATGTTTTATAGTATAGAGGCTGTTCATTTGTACTCCACCTACTCGCAAAATCAGGAAGATATGCTAGGAGCTGCTATTTACGAGCTTATTATATGGGAGTTATGGGACTAGTGAACGCCGACCAGCTGATGAGATCTGCTTGAAACAAGAAAAGCAGTACAAATGAACAGCCTATAAAATTGTAATATTAATAAGTTTAGTCTGGGCTGTCGTTCTATGGTTCTAGAGTGAACTACAAAAACTATTTAAAAAATTGATGTATTTGAAATGAATTTTAGAGTTAATGAAGAAGAAGTCATACTAAATAACTATTTAGTTCGATGGTCCAGATCATCTATTTGAAATAACAGCTTCTTCTAGTTCTTTTCCGCGGTTTCATCCGCCGTTAAATTTAGAAGAAATTGACTATCTATAAATAATTTAAAGTACCTACTTCGCATCAGACAATATTTTTAAACAACAATAATAAATAATAATATATCTAAAAACAACGTGGATAAGCTGCGGAATACGTTCAAATAATATAATTTCGTCATAGAATTCAACTTCGCTGCTGCTACATATCAAATCCAAAAGTGCAACAACTTTTTCTTTGGAAATTAGCAGACATTTTTATGTACGGTACATGTAAACAAAAACAAAACAAACTGCACTGGCTCTCCACGAGCCTTCCTAGCTCGTGCCAAAAAATGCGCACTGAGTGCATAAATAATTGCACTGAATTTCAAATGGAAAATGAAAACTGAAAATGTGCAGTCAAATGGAATATAAAAATTGCACTGAGTGCACCTCCGTGCAACAAATGGAAAACGCCATAAGAGTGACACGACGGACACGACGAATCTGAAACGTCATGTCATAGGCGCTTTCATTTATTGGTTCTAGATGTTCTTTAAATCAAATCAAGAGCAAACCTGCAGTGATGTGCCTGTAGACAATGTCAACGTAAACAATTGATTGTCTACGCGTAGACAATTCGAATTGTTTACGTGAGCATTTGTCTACACATTGTCTACATGCGGCGTAAACAATAACTTATTTTAAAAAATTCGAAAAAAAATATCAAAAGTTACTATACTGTCACTATTACTTCGAAATTAGAATTCACTGATTATAAAATATCAGAAAAACCAATAATAAAATAAGAATAATTAAAAAAAAGGAAAGTGTGAGGTTAGAATTAAACGTCATTTATATTATTTCACATTGTTTACACGTTGTCTACATTGTCTACATTGTCTACATTATCTACACGTAAAGTAGACAATGAAAGTCTACGTGTAGACGCACATCCCTGTGCATGAGTAGTTTTCTTTGTTCAAATTTTTTGCTGAAATGGATTATTTAGATTATCGCAAGTTCATCCACATAATAAATTACGCCTTTTTGTCGAAGCAACAAATTTTATATTCATAATGAAAAATATTGCCCAAAATTCTGCAGCCCAACGTTTTTCTATGTGGCTTTTTCTCTGTCAAATTTAAATCTGTCAGCTTATTAGTTTGATCAACACTTCGTTCGTTTGTGTTAAGTTGTATTCCTTTCAAGAGGTTAGAACCCTAGAGCTACTCGTTCCGGTGCTAGTCGACCCCGATTTGAAAGGCACAGATGCGCTGGCTTTCGTGCATTTAAGGGAGGATTTTCATGCATCCGTTTTTCCGACGAAATATGTCCGTTTAACATTCTATTCTGACATAATCGTATATAAATATGTCAAAATAGAAGACTTTTCGGACATATTTCGACGGAAAAACGGATGCATGAAAATCCTCCCTAAATGGTTTAGTTCGGGCTTGAGCACGTGCAACAAACACTTTTCGGAAGGAATAGACGCGTAACGCCCGGAGCTCCACCTAGGTGTGAAAGGAATACAACTAATGACAATGAACTGACGAGCGTTAGTTGAATCGCTGACGTCACAATCCTGAAATATTTTCCGCTCAGTTGAAATTAGTGCGACACAAACAAAAAAACCTACAAATAAATCCTAATAGGTATGTTCCAAACTCGCCGCAAACCGTTCAGGAATGGCCCCAATCATGCTCATCGTTCCAGTTCTAGACAGGGACCCTGACCGAAATTAAATATCGGGTCCACAGCGGCATAGCGTCATGACAAATTGATTCCGTTACTGTTCCGGTTCTTAGAGAAATATTTTCATCCGGCTCGGACCAATAATTTCGGTTTTAACGGTTCCTACCGGTATAGTTTTCCACAAATATCTAACAAAAAAACTTAGTTTTCTGTAATTTTTGGTTTATTTTTCATTGGATTTCTGCCTATCTACAACAACTTCAATACATAATAATTATTAATATTAATAACAATAAATTTTTGTGTTCTCGATCAGTTAATTGAACTTTGTCCGTGCGTAGTCATCAACAATAGTTGTATTCCTTTCACATCTAGGAGGAGCTCCGGAACAGCTCCTGGGCGTTACGCGCTTATTCCTTTCAATAAGTGTTTGTTGCACCTGAGTGCTCAAACCCGAATCAAACCATTTAAATGCATGAAAACCAGCGCGTCTGTTCCTTTCAAATCGGGGTCGACTAGCACCGGAACGAGTAGCCCTAGTGTTTTAAACTTTTGAAAGGAATACAACTATTGAGGACACCATGCATATTCTTATGAGGTATAATAATTTTCATCATAAATGTATATTCTTAACTATGACCGCTGGCGCAAACCGCTAACGACACCGTTGATGACGTCGACAAGGGTGCAACACCATATGAACTTGATTCCAAAAATCGTGGCAGATGAGCAAGCCTGTAGAAGTGCTTAATATCCTTGGTGTAGCCTAGGATCTTTCTGGCCTAGCCGAGATCAAAAATGCGCGTTTTCCAACGCTCTATTGTTTATGGCCATTTCCACCAACTATTTTGGGGACCTTTAAGTACATATTCCCTAAAATGACATTTTTACATGGAGAAATGTCAGTTTAGAGAATACTTATCGTTAGGGCTTCCCTAAAATAGTTGGTGGAACCGGCCATAAGAGTGTTAAATTTATTACGATACGACCAAACAACCAAATTTATGAAATTTTTAAACCGAATAATACCGGTAAGAACGGATTAAAGGGGGTGTGCGCCAAAAAAACAACTTCATCTAAAAAAAAACGAGGAAAAAAATCTAAGAATAACAGTCAAATTCGCACCCCTCTATGACAAATAAAACCGTAGATATGGCTCTATGAAGGTACCGCATCTCACCCTATGACGTCACGAAAGCTCAAGCGACGCACGAGAAAGTGGAGTTAATTGAATTTACATATGTTTTTCCTGTGTTACCTGCAATAATCTAAACAAAAACCACTCACGCGTGCCGGGAACAATCAAATTAACAATGCGGAGCGCGGCTGGACGAAATTCTCGTGACGTCACGAGAGCGTCGTCCACACTGTAAAGCGGTATATCTCAGCGATGGTTTATCGTAGAATAACGACATTTGAACAGTTATTCTTAGATTTTTTTACACTAAAACTTTAATTTTTGGCGCACACCCCCTTCAATTTATATCGATTCTGGTTCTGCTTGCCTTACAACATTTCTATATATTGGTTTCGTTCCGGTTCTGGTCCGCAAAAAAAAAACGGTTCCGTTCCAGTTTTCGGTTCAATCTTCAATCCATGCGATCGGTATTTTGCTTAAAGAATAGAGCGTGCTGAGCGGAGCCGTAATTACGTGACCAGCGAGCGAACAGTGCAGTTCAACGCTGTATCAGAGTGCCTGAAATTTTAATAAACGAACGCGAATGATCCCGCCCGCGTACACTTTTTAAATAAACGAAGGGTTAATTCAAGCTTGGAGAACTCAGATCAAAATACCGAACGCATGGCGTTTCAGTCTGGGTCTCTGGTTCTGGAACAGTTTGGAGAAAGTTATTTCGGTACCCACCAAGAAGCAGAAATTATTTCAAGTCTGCAGAAGCACCTCACTGACCAAGCAACAAGTGAGTTGAGATAAAGGCAAAATGAAAATTTTTAAAAACCCGTACTGAAACCATCCCTGAAACCGATGTTCAATCCCAGAAGGTTCCGGAACAGTTGCGCCTTCGTATAAAACTTGTAATTTAACGATTTCAGAACCATTCAGTCTATTTCAAAACGGTTTTAACAAATGTAGTTGTTGGGGCAAACCTATATGCACCTACACGAACCACATGGTATTAGCACAGAGCATAGCATGTATTAGCTTTGTTTTGATTCCACCCAGAACTAGTTCGAAAGCATTCTGCACATCCGCGTGTTACACAACGCATTTTCGTTTTTTCAGAATTGTAATTGAACTGTGTTGACAGCGTTTTGGTTTATTTAGAACTATATTATAAGAACAATTCTGGGATTTTTCTAGAACGGTTTCCTCAGTTCTTGTTCTGAAGGAGGAACGATGACTGTTTTGAAATTTTTTGATTTGCTTTGTTTTGGTTTTTTTGGTTCCGAATCGGTTCAGAATTAAGAAACCTCCATTATTTTTTGTGCGCAAGCAGATCTGCGCAATCCTAGAACCGTTCCCAATTTCGAACCAAAACAAAGTTATTATCAAACTATTTGGAAAGATTTAAATAAACCAAGAGATTTTA